TTTATTTCTTGTCTAATCCCTGTGGCTAGGACTTCCAATACTATGTTGAATGAGGATGGTGAGAATGGACATCCCTGTCTTGTTTCTGTTCTTAGAGGAAATGATTTTAGTTTTTGCCCATTGAGTATGATACTCTCCGAAGGTTTGTCATATACAGCTTTTATTATGTTGAGATATGCTTCTTCTATTCCCACTTTGCTGAGAGTTTTTACCAAAAGAGGGTGTTGGATTTTGTCGAATGCTTTTTCTGCACCTATTGATATGATCATATAATTTTTATCTTTCAGTTTGTTTATGTGATATATCACATTTATTGATTTGCGAATATTGTACCAGTCTTGCATCCCTGGAATAAATCCCATTTGGTCATGGTGTATAATCTTTTTAATATATTGCTGGATCCAACTTTCTAATATTTTCTTGAGAATTTTAGCATCTATGTTCATCAGGGATATTGGCCTGTAATTCTCTTTATTTGTAGTGTCTTTATCTGGGTTTGGAATTAGGATCATGCTGGCCTCATAAAAAGAGCTTGGATGTGTTTCTTCCTCTTGGATTTCTTGGAATAGTTTGAGGAGTATAGGTGTTAGTTCTTCTTTGAATGCTTAATAAAACTCCCCTGTGAAGTCATCTAGACCTGGGATTTTGTTGGATGGGAGTTTTTTAATTACTACTTTTATTTGATCAGTTGTTATTGGCCTACTCAGGTTTTCTGATTCTTTGTGATTCAGTTTTGGAAGGTTGTATTTTTCTAGGAATTTGTTCATTTCATCCACATTATCCAGCCTTTTGCCATATAGTTGTTCATAGTATTTTTTACAATCCTTTGTATTTCTGTGGTGTCAGTGGTTACTTCTCCACTTTCTTTTCTAATTTTATTTATTTGGATGTTCTCTGTCTTTTGATGAGTCTGACTAGTGGTTCATCAATTTTGTTTATTCTTTCATAGAACCAGCTCTTGGTTTCCTTGACTTTTGTATTAATTTTTTAGTCCATATCGTTTATTTCTGCTCTAATCTTTATTATTTCCTTCTACTTTCTCTGGGCTTTTGTTATTCTCTTTCTAATTCTTTTAGTTGTAGAGTTAGTTTATTATTGGTTTTTTTTGTTCCCTCTTTGTGTTGTTTTAGTTTTTTGAAGTATTCCTGTAGTGCTATGAACTTCCCTTTCAGGACTGCTTTTGCTGTGTCTCAGAGATTTTAAGTTGTGTGTTCATTTTCATTTGTTTCCAGGAAGTTTTTTATTTCTTTCTTGATCTCTTTGGTAACCCATTTATTGTTTTATAACATGCTACTTAGCCTCCATGTGTTTGAATGTTTTGGGGTACTTTTAATATAATTGATTTCTAATTTTATTCCACTGTGATCTGAGAAGATGTTTGATATTATTTCAATCTTCTTGAATTTGAAGAGACTTGTTTTGTGTCTTGACATGTGGTCTATCTTTGTGAATGATCTACTTGAGGAGAATGTATATTCTGGAGCTTTGGGGTGAAATATTCACCCCAAATAAATTGAAATAAATGTCAATTAAGCCATCTGCTCAGTGTATCTTTTAGAATCACTATTTGCTTGTTAATTTTTTGTCTGGAAGATCTATCCAGTGAAGTCAGCAGGGTGTTAAAATCTCCTACTATGACTGTATTGTTGTTGATCACAACCTTCAAGTCCTTTAGAATTTTTTCATATATTTAGGAGCTCCTATATTGGGTGCATATATGTTTAGCACGGTTATATCCTCTTTTTAGGTCAATCCCCTTAATATTATGTAGTGACCTTTGTTATCTCATGATGACCTTCATTTTGAAGGTTATTTTGTCTTATATGAGTATTCCTACACCAGGTTTTTTTGTTGCCATTTGCATGAAAAAAAATTTTCCATACCTTCACTCTTATCCTGTGTGAATCTTCTGTTCTGAGGTGGGTCCCTTGTAGACAGCTTATACTTGGGTCATGTTTTTGTATTCATTTAGCTACCCTGTGTCTTTTGATTAGAGCATTTAATCCATTTACATTTAAGGTTATTGACTAGAGGCCCAGTGCACAAATTCGTGCACCAGTGGGGTCCCTTGGCCTGGCCTGTGGGATCAGGCCGAAACCGGCTCTCTGACATCCCCCAAGGGGTCCCAGATTACGAGAGGGCGCAGGCCAGGCTGAGGGTCCCCACCAGTGCACGATCGGGGCTGAGGAGGGATACAGGAGATTGGCCAGCCTGGGAGAGGCCATGGGAGGGCTCCAGGGCATGTCCGGCCCATCTTGCCCAGTCCCGATTGGCCTGACCCCAGCAGCAAGCTAACCTACCAATCGGAGCATCTGCCCCCTGGTGGTCAGTGCATGTCATAGCGATTGGCCAACTGTCTGCCCCCTGTTGGTCAGTGCATTTCATAGCAAGCAATTGAGCGACCTTAGCATATCATTAACATATTATGCTTTGATTGGTTGAACAGATGACCAGATACTTAGTATATTAGGCTTTTATTATATAAGATAGGTACTTATTTATTACCATTTTAATTCTGTATGCCTAGATTTCTCTATTTCTTCTTTTTTTATGTATATATTTTATTGATTTTTTACAGAGAGGAAGGGAGAGGGATAGTTAGAAACATCGATGAGAGAGAAACATCGATCAGCTGCCTCCTGCACACCTCCTACTGGGGGTGTGCCTGCAACCAAGGTACATGCCCTTGACCGAAATCGAACCTGGGACCTTTCAGTCCACAGGCCAATGCTCTATCCACTGAGCTAAATCAGTTAGGACTCTATTTCTTCTTGTTATTAAGCAGACCCTTTAGCATTTCTTGTAATGCTGGCTTGGTGGTAATGAACTCCTTTAGCCTTTTATTGTGTGAGAAGCTCTTTATTTCATCATCGATTTTGAATGATACCCTTGTTGGATATAGTAATATTGGTTTCAGATCTTTGCTTTCCATTACCTTAAGTATTTCATACCATTCCCTTCTGGCCTGTAGAGTTTCTGATGAGAAACCAGCTGTAAGCCTATGGAAGTTCTGTTGTACGTAATAAATTGCTTTTCTCTTGCTGCCTTTAATATTCTCTCTTTTTCTTTAATTTTTGGCATTTTAATTATGATGTTTCTAGATGTGGGTTTGTGTTCTTCTTGTTTGGGACTCTGAGCCTCCTTAACTTGTGTGACTTTTTTCTTCACCAGGTTAGGGAAGTTTTCTGCCATTATTTCTTTATACATGCTCTTTATCTCTTTATCCCTTTCTTCCCCTTCTGGGACACTGAAAATGTGAATATTGTTATGTTTCATATTGTTCCATAGCTCCTTTACTCTGTCCTGTTTTAATTGTGTTTTCTCTTTGGTTCTGTGATTGAGTGATTTTTTTTAATCCTGTCTTCTAATTCACTGATCCAATCCTCAGCTTCCCCTAATCTGCTGTGAATTCCTTCCAATGTGTTCTTTATTAGTGCTATGTCATTTTTTATTTCCAACTGTTCTTTTTTTATAGTTCCTATATCTTTTCTAATACTGTTGGGCATCTTCACCATCATTATTCTGAACCCTAAACCAGATAAATTTATTATCTCCATTTCATTTATCTCTTCTTCTGGAGGAATCTCTTGCTCTTTCCTTTGGAGGTATTTTCACTCTTCCTGAGAAAGAAATTCAGTGGAGGTTTTTGAGCCAAAGAATGACATGATCTGATTTATTTTAATAAGGATACGCTAGTTATTATATTGGGTATGGAATATTAGGAAGGCAACAGTGGAAGTAGGGAGACCCATTATGATAGCATGTTAATCTTAGTATGGTTGGATAGGTGGTAAAGATACTGGTAGAAGTAGACATAATCTGGATATATTTTGAGGCTAGAAATGGGAGGACTTGCTGTTAGTTGTAATGTCCTACTCCTTTAGATTCTTGTTTAGTTGATCTTAGATGGTTCCTTGACATTGTATTTTACAAGTTCCTCAGCTGATTCAGCTTCTCACCAGAGGTGAAGAACCACTTTTTTAAATAATAAAAAAAATTATTGTTGAAAGTATTACAGATGTCCCCTTTTTACTCCCATTGACACCCTCCACCCTGTCCCCACTCTACCCCCAGGTCTTCCACACTCTATGTCCATGGGTTATGCATATAATTTCTTTGGTTAATCTGTATGTCATCTTTGGAGAATATTTGACAAAGAAGGCAAGAACATACAGTGGAGTAAAGACAATCTCTTCAATAAATGTGTTGGGAGAAATGGAAAGGTACATGCAAAAAAAAAAATGAAACTAGACCACCAACTTACACCATACACAAGAATAAACTAAAAATGGATAAAAGATTTAAATGTAAGTCTGAAACCATAAAAATCCTAGAGAAAACCATAGGTAGCAAAATTTCAGACATCTCTTATAGCAACATGTTTGCTGATAAATCTCCTAGGGCAATGGTCGGCAAACAGCGGTCCCTTTAGTGTGGCTCTTCCACAAAATACCACGTACTGGTGCACACATACAGTGCAATTGAAACTTCGTGGCCACACTCAAGGGGCCAAAGAGCCGCATGTGGCTTGCAAGCCGCAGTTTGCCGACCACTGTCCTAGGGCAAGGGAAACAAAGGAAAATTTAAACAAATGGGACTACATCAAAATAAAAAGCTTCTGCACAGTAAAAGAAACCAATAAGAAAATGAAAAGGGATCCCACTGTATGAGAGAACATATATATCAATGATACATCTGACAAAAGGTTAATTTCCAAGATATATAAAGAACTCATACAACTTAACAAAAGGAAGACAGGCAATTCAATTTAAAAATGGGTGAAGGACCTAAATAGACATTTCTCCAAAGAACTACTTCTATAAGTTCACCTTATTTTCTCTATTCTCATTTTCCTCTGCCCCCTGTTTGGTTTGTTTTTTTTTTGCAAAGCAATCTTAAGAGCTATTTATTTGCTATTTTTAGTTTGTAATTTCTACCTTAGAAAAACTTTCCTTTTTCCTGCAATAAAAAATACCTCCTATTTTCTTGTTATCTTACAGATTGGGAGTCGAGAAGAGAAACCAAGAATTTATCTCCAAAGGAGGGTAGTTATGAAATTAAATCATTTCAACCAAAGATAACAAAAAGACCTATAAGTTCTAACCTTGTGTGCACTAGGGTCAAAGATAATAGTGAAATCAAATGCTACTTGGAGAAACAACAGGATGGACATTTCAAACCAGTGGTAATGACCTCTGAAGAAAGGTCTGCTTCTATTCAGTGTACAGTCAATAGACTACCTCAGATAATTCATACTGGAGTGAAATGTGAATGCAAGGAATGTAAGGAAGCTTTCAGTTACCAGGCATACCACCTCCAACATGAATGCAGTCATAATAAGGAAAAGAGCTCTAAATATGAAGACTATGAGAAAGCCTTTAATAGTAGATCAGACTTGATTAAGCATCAGAGAATTCATGAAAGAAAAAAAAGTAATGAACCTGAGAAATGTGCCTTTATTCAGGACTCTGAAATTACTAAACCTCAGAGCATTAATACTGGTGAGAAAGCTCATAAATGTAAGGAATGTGGTAAAGCCTTTCATTCTAGCTCACAACTTACAAAACATCAAAGGATTCATATTGGTGAGAAACCCTATAAATGTAAGGAGTGTGAGAAGGCATTTCCATCTACCTCACAACTTAATTTACATCAGAGAATTCATACAGATGAGAAATACTATGAATGTAAGGAATGTGGAAAAGCCTTCACCCGCCCCTCACACCTTTTTCGACATCAGAGAATCCATACAGGTGAGAAACCACATAAATGTAAGGAATGTGGTAAAGCTTTTCGTTATGATACACAACTTAGTCTTCATCAAATAAGTCATACTGGTGAAAGACACTATGAATGTAAGGAATGTGGAAAGGCATATAGTTGTGCCTCACAGCTGAATCTGCATCAAAGAATTCATACTGGTGAGAAACCTCATAAATGTAAGGAGTGTGGGAAAGCTTTTATCTCTGATTCACATCTTATTCGACATCAGAGTGTTCATACTGGTGAGAAACCATATAAATGTAAGGAATGTGGGAAGTCCTTTCGCCGTGGCTCAGAACTTATTCGACATCAGAGAGCTCACAGTGGTGAGAAACCCTATAAATGTAAGGAATGTGGAATGGCCTTTACTTGTAGCACAGAACTTATTCGACATAGAAAAATTCACACTGGTGAGAGACCCCATAAATGTAAGGAATGTGAGAAGGCTTTTATACGAAGGTCAGAACTTACTCATCACCAGAGAAGTCATACTGGTGAAAAACCATATGAGTGTAAGGAATGTGGGAAGGCCTTTGGTCGTGGCTCAGAACTTTATCGACACCAGAAAATTCACACTGGTGAGAAACCTTATGAATGTAAGCAATGTGGAAAAGCCTTTATTCGTGGATCACACCTTAGTCAACATCAAAAAATTCATGCAGCATAGAGGAATGAATGAAGACATGAGGGACAGTTCAGAATTTAATTGTAATCTGAAGTTCATAGTAGTAAAATAGAAACAAACAAAACCCCCTGTGATTATAAGGAATGTGGGAAAGCATTTGAGGATAACAATTTAATATCAGAGTTCGTACTGTATATATAAAGTCTTTATTTAAGGGCCAGAATTTATTGAGCATTTGTTACTGATGAGAAACCTTATAAATGTTAGGAATTGGAAGCATTTATTTGTGTTTTAAAATTTATTTGATATCAGTTCAATTGGTGCAAAAGCAAAAACCTTCATGAATGTAAGGAAAGTGTGAAGGCAGCAAATGTGTTAGAGACATTAATCATTTAAACCTTTCTCAACATCAAGGTCATTAACCTTTAAGGGAAATAAAAGGATTTATAATATAATTGGCATATATGTGGGACACCAATTTGCTTTAACTAACAAGTTATTTATCTGATAGCCATACTTGATGAAGGCTATATTAATATTAAAATTGTAGAAAATTAGTTTACCCTGCCCAAATCTTGTTCAGATTTGCAAACTTATTTTCTAAAATTAACTTGAACTAAATCAGAGTGGGAAAAGATTTAACCAATATTTAGTCTTTATTTGCCTTCACCACTATAACTCATTTTTTATAGGGCAAATTACTTAACTATGTCTAAATTTTCTCATTTACAAATTGGTAATATTAGCACCATATTTTTAGTAGCATTGTGAAAATTAAGTAATTACATTATATCCTGTAGAACAGTGTCTGTATTGTATTGAAAGTCTGCTAGATAAGAGCTGCCTTTATTATTAATAAGCGTTTTTATTTTCATAAGTGTGTATTATTAGAGATTATACAAGAGGAAAGCCTTTGGGGTTCATTGACTCTAGGAACATCTTAATTCATGTCTTTCTTTATTGAATGGTAAGTAATTCCTTCTGGAGAAAAATTAAAAACAAACTTTTATCATAGCTTATATTTTTGTCCCATCAGAAGATTCATAATATAAAGAACCCCAGTAGAATAAAAGTGGGTAGCTATGAGGTCAGGGTGAAGACCTGGATGATATATTAAGAACTTAAAAAAATGACATAGGGCACACTCTATGGCTTCTGTTCTGGATAATTAGAAAATAACAAAGCCTTAGTCTAAATCCATTTTTTTCTATGTGGAAATTTAAAAGATAACTGTATAAATATTTTTATATTAAAAGGCAAATTATCATTAGTAATGAATGACAAAGAGAAGACTACATGTTGAAATTTGCAGGACATAGCAATGCAATACTTGAGGAAAATTTACTTCTTTCAATAAGTGTAGGAAACAGAAAAAATTAAGGCCAGGATACTTTCCCACTTAACTATACTTGGTACACTGCCTATTCTCTGTTCCTGGTAGGTTCCCAGTAAACATTGATGATTGAAGGAATAAGATAATGAATGAATAAGCATTTGACCATCATATCTTGAAAAGTTCTAACAAAATAATTGTAGGGCCAAAAATGAAAGAAAACTTGAAAACATTTTTTGAAATGAAAAACACTGTATCCTATAAAGAAAAAATCTCATGAATAAGAGAGGATATATAACTACAAAAGTGGAGGATATTTAAAGGAATAAGACAATATTATTGTGGCTGATACTGTTGCTTGCCTATTCATTGGTATTAACTATTCTCCCTTTGCCAGGGTTACCTGCCATCCACTTAAGTCTAAATGCGAGATGCTTGCTCACCTAGTTTGCTTTGCATCTTGGCATATGTATACCAGTCCTGGCCATAAGAGAATTGAGCAAAAGTCTGCAGGTGAGCTTCAGTTAAGTTTTCTTTCCTAACAAAATAGGAGGAAATAGTCCTCTTTTGTACAGAATGCATGTCTATATGTCTGTGATACCTGGAATTATGGCCATTTTGCAACCAGAGGGGTAAGAGACAGATTGGCATGGGATAGGCTGGAATTACCTTTGTCCTTAACATTGTTGAGCTGATGAAACAATTCAGAACTGCCCTGTTCTTGGACTTGTGTGAAATAAGAAACTCCATCATATCTGTTATAAGTTTATACTCAACTTTTCATAATATATTTGAGTCTCAGGAAAAAATATTTTTATAAATATACACATTTATTCAACTTTATTTAGTAAGATGGGACATTGTTTATATTCATATTTTTACAGTATAACAAATTGTGGAAAAGCATTACTTTCTTCAACATATATTAATACCTTGGACATATTTCAGGTATGGTATAAGAGCACTACAGTATATTGAGTATGGCATTAAAGTGAGTCATGATACTTTTGCTTTTGGAGAGTCTTGCCTTCAATTTGTAAAAACAAAAAAAAAAAGTAACATCTGTGACATGCAATAAAGCAAACTACAATATGCATATATGTGTATATGCACATTCAACTGTGATTTGGTAATTCATAGGAAACATGTGTTTAGAGTATTTTGCAGTGTGCCTGTTTATATTCAGCTTTTTACAGTTGTCTGAAATCCTAGAAAAGTATTATTTTCCTGAATCAAGTAAGAATCAAGAAAAAACTAATTAAAGAACTACACCATGTTATTCCTCCATTACCAGAGTATCTCACAGATAAAATCTTCTAAGTGTTCAATATACAAAGAATCATAACCCGTTGACCAAATTTGGGTAAGGAAAGTATCCAAATCAGCTATAAAAAATAGTACATTGTATTCATCGTATATGAATATTCAAATTAAAATGCCAAGTCAAGCCAAACCAGTTTGGCTCAGTGGATAGAGCATCAGCCTGCGGACTGAGGGGTCCCAGGTTCAATTCCGGTCAAGGGCATGTACCTTGGTTGCGGGCACATCCCCAGTGGGAGGTGTGCAGGAGGCAGCTGGTCGATGTTTCTAACTCTCTATCCCTCTCTCTTCCTCTCTGTAAAAAATCAATAAAATGTATTAAAAAAAATAAAATAAAATGCCAAGTCAAATCTAGTAGTCTAATAGAAAAGTAATTTTTTATCCTGAATAAAGTGACCTGACCTGTCCAATTGTTTGAAAATGTAAGGTGTAAAGAGACCCAAGATGGCGAGTAGGTGTCAGTACACACTGCTCCTATAACCACATCAAAATTCCAACTAAAATATAGAACAGCCATTACTCAGGACCACCTGAAAGCTAGCTGAATGGAAGTCCTACAACTAGAGAAGTAAAGAAGTAAGCACATTGAGACTGGTAGGAGGGGCACAGGCATGGAATGGGCTAGTCCAATACCCATGTGTGCCCTTTTTTTTTAGCTGGAAGGGGGATCGTTGCTGAGGAGGCTGCCCGTCAGGAGCAAGGGGTCCTAGCCCAGGGTTCCAGAGTTGGTAACTACAGGCTGTAAAGACCAGTTGGGATTGGAGATGCATGATACAGAGGTTGCTAGAGACCCAAGTCTTCCTTTTAAAGGGCCAGTGCACAAACTTACTTAGACTTAATCCTTCTAAGCTCCAGTACTGGGCAGCTTTTGGGGACCCAGAAACATATTGGACTGAATTGTCTGGCATCAGGGCAGGTACTTGGGAGTAGCTTAATCCCAGATGGGGGTACTTGCAGCGGTCATTGCCCCTGTTGCAGAGCTGGCTGGTAAGATCTATGTGTCTCCATCAGCCTGGCTTAACCCTTTGAGTGCCAACCAATATCCTAGGAACTATGCTAAAATTGCCAAGGCATTTTTGCTGATTTTACAGCAGTTTAGGAAAAAAAATTATGAATTGCAAGTAAATGAAGTTACATATCCAAAAACTTAAGGAAACCTTTACTAAATAGACATATTTAGCAATATCGTCATCACTAATCAAAGCAGACTTAGAACTGGACGCCATTTCGAAGCTTTGATAGCGCTCCCGGCACTTTTGGTGAAAGACAGGAGGAGCACAATCACTCTCCCTGGCACTCTAGGGGTTAAACTGTTTGCCCTGGTGATTCCCTGAGATCCCATCCAAATTGCAGCCCCACCCAAGCTGTTTGCAGCAGTTTTTCAATATGAATGTCCTGTCCTAGTTCAGGCTTCAGACTGCTAAAATCTCTCAAAAAGCTGCAGATGGTATCAGCATGCCCCAAACCTATTAATGAAAGCCAAGACCTGGCACTAGCATCAGCCTGCCTTGCTTCACAGCTGGGCCTCACCTGGGCACTTCTAAGCCCAATACAAATAGCATCCATTTGCAGATTTCATCCTGCTAAGTGGCCCAAGGCAGTGGCTGACTTTGCACCTCCCTGAAGGCCTTAGAGCCAGTACACCCGGTGGACAGCTTCAGACCACACCAGAATACAACTCTACATATCCATAAGTGACACACTCAAGGAGCAGATACAGTGAGCACCAAAGCCCCACTGAAGCAAGTCCTATGTTAGTGATGGCGAACCTATGACACGCGTGTCAGAGGTGACATGCAAACTCATTTTTTTGGTTGATTTTTCTTTGTTAAATGGCATTTAAGTATATAAAATAAATATCAAAAATATAAGTCTTTGTTTTACTATGGTTGCAAATATCAAAAAAATTTCTATATGTGACATGGCACCAGAGTTAAGTTAGGGTTTTTCAAAATGCTGACACGCCGAGCTCAAAAGGTTTGCCATCACTGTCTTATGTCATAGAGGTGTTTTCTGCACAGCAGCTTTTTCATTGTAGTCACAACTGGTCCTCACAGCCAATTGGCCTGGAGATCAAATCCTCCCAGTGATGCCAATAGCAGTCAAGGCTTATCTACAAGATTGTGCACACAGTCCACTCATGGGTGTACCTAGAGTTCCAAGCTCAGGTGACTGGGGAGGCTGAGCCACTGGACACCTAATACACAAGGCCACTCTACCAATTCCAGGAGACATAGCAGCTCTACTTAATAAATAGAAACAAACACAGGGAAGCTGCCAAAATGTGGAGACATCACAAATGAAAGAAATGGAATCAAGCAGTTTACTGGATACAGAGTTCAAAACCATGATTATAAGGTTACTCAAGGATCTTCATGAGAGCTTCCAGGATCTTAGTGAGACTTTTACAGATCTTAGTAAGAACATCAAAGACATGAAAAAGGACCAGAAAGAAATTAAGCGTTCACTAACTGAAATAATGGACAGAGATTCAGCAATAGAGTAGAGGACTCCGAGAATCAAATCAACTATTTGGAATACGAGGAAGCAAAAAACACCCAATTAGAAGAGCAAAAAGAAAAAAAATTCCAAAAATATGAAGACAGTGTAAGAAGCCTCTGGGACAACTTCAAGTGTACCAACATTCAAATCATGAGGGTGCCAGAAGGAGATGAGGGAGAACAAGATATTGAAAACATATTTGAAGAAATAATGACAGAAAACTCCCCCTACCTGGTAAAAGAAATAGACTTACAAATCCAGGAAGTGCAGAGGAACCCAAAGAGGCCCATACCAAGACACATCATAATTAAAATGCCAAAGGTTAAAGACAAAGAGAGAATCTTAAAAGCATCAAGAGAAAAGCAGTTAGGGAGCGCCATATAACTGTCAGCTGATTTCTTAACAGAAATTTTGCAGGCCAGAAGAGAGTGTCAAGAAATATTCAAAGAGATGAATTACAAGGACCTACAACAAAGATTACTCGACCCAAAAAAGCTATCATTTAACATTGAAGGTCAGATAAAGAACTTCCCAGACAAGAAAAAGCTAAAGTAGTTCCTCAACACAAAATCAGTATTACACAAAATGTTGAAGGGTATTCTTTAAAAAAGAAGAAAAGATTTTTTAAAAAATGAATAAAATGGCAATAAATACATATCTATCAACAATTGAATCTAAAAATCAAAATAAGCGAACAAGAAATCTAATGAACAAAATAAACTAGTGGCCCAGCCAGCATGGCTCGGTGGTTGAACATTGACCTATGAACCAGGATGTCACAGTTCAATTCCTGGTCAGGGCACATGCCCAGGTTTTGGGCTTCATCTCCAGTAAGGGGCATGCAGAAGGCAGCCAATCAATGATTTTCCCTCATCATTGATGTTTCTATTTCTCCCTCTCTGAAAATTTTTTTAAAAATGTAGTGTGTAAATATAGTGTTTAGACATTGAAAACTAAAATAACTTGCCACTGAAAGTAATAAACAAGAAACTATTGCAGCATATGCATATATGACTACTGTGAAGTCACTCCAGTTGTCCACTTAAACATACCTCATAATCATTAGACATTTCAACGTTTGGAATATTCATACCGTGGATTACACTTTGGCACCACACCTTAGAACATAATACATATTTTGAGTAAACTTAATGCAAACATGCATTATGTGGTAAATTAAATGAGTCATAGCTAAATGTCAAGCTTATTAGTGAACAATTTAACAAAATTTCAATATTTTTTAAAGGGGAGAAATGATTACTAAATTATATCTCCACTGGTATAGTTACTTCATAAGGCTGTTCTTAAAAGTTGTACATATCATCTTAAGACGTGTGACCTGTGGAAGAATTGAAGTATTACTAGGCATGACCACATAGTAGTCAAAGAGCATGGTACTGGCATAGAAACAGATATATAGATCAATGGGACAAAATAAATAGCCCAGAAATAAATGCACGCCTATATGGTCAATTAAAATTAAATAAAGGAGCCAAGAGAATAAAATGGGGTAAAGACAGTCTATTCAATAAATATTGTTGGAAAAATGGGCAGATACATGCAAAAAATATATATGAAACTAGACCACCTTCTTACATAATATACAAGAATAAGCTCAAAGTGTATAAAAGACAAAAGTAAGACTCAAAACTAAAATTCCTAGAAGAAAACATAGGTAGGAAACTCTCTGACATTTCTTTTAGCAGAATTTTTGTGATCTATCTCCTCGGGCAAGGGAAACAAAGGGAAAAAAAACACAAATTGGACTGCATCAAACTAAAAACCTTCTGCACAGCAAAAGAAACCATCAAAATGTAAAGAAAACCTACTGAATGGAAGAATATATTTTCCAATGATATGTCTGATAAGGAGTTGATATCCAAAATTTATGAAGAACTCAACACCAAAAAGCACCTCCAAACAATTCAATTAAGAAATGGGCAGAGGATCTGAATAGATACTTCAACAAAGAAAACATACAAATGGCCAACAGACATGAAAAATGTCAACATCACTAATCAAAGAAATGCAAATTAAAGCCACAATGAGATACCACCTCACATCTATCAGAGTGGCTATCATGAATAAACAACTAGTGCTAGCAAGAATGTGAAGGAAAGGAAAATCTCATGCACTGTTGGCGGGAATGCGGATTGGTGCAGCCACTATGAAAAACAGTGTGGAGGT